ACACACACACACACACACACACACACACACACACACACACACTCTCTCTCTCTCTCTCTCTCTCTCTCTCTCTCTCTCTCATTTTTTGTAATTAGTTAGAAATGAAAAGGTATATATCTTTGTTTTCTGCATGAAATATCATCAACATTTAAAATTTTCTTTTAGCTTGTTGCCCATTGGAATGTGGAAAAATCTCTCCTCCCTCCAAAGAAGTTGTTTGGCAACCAGTCAGAGGCTTTTATTCAACAGCGACAGATTGACCTTGAAGTTTACCTTCAAACCTTAATTCATCAATTTAGCATTCTGCCACCCCCTCTCATCAGTTTTCTAGATTTTCATAAATATGTGAGTTTTGCAGTCATTGTGTGTTTTGTATACATATACAAATACCTGTTTGTTTATTTTTAAATAAGAAATACTTTCACAAAATATAAATATTTCCATTACAGTTCTGTTGTTTTCAATATATTGTGTTGTAAATATTTTCAAGACTGGTAATTAATATTAAATTCAATAACTGTTGAACATTTTAAGCTGTCTTCTCTAACAGTAAATTTTATCAATTTCACAACAAAAATATGTCCAGATGAACAGTTGCCCTTGATTTTTAGCTTTTTTGTTTTCATAATCACTAATCATACACTTTTCAGAGTTAGGAATTTTTTGTAGAATGATTGGATATAACCTATTGATTGTGGCTGCTCTGAACAGGCATGGAGTTTTTGCAAGCTGTACACTGTATGTGGCACACTCGCATTCAACTGACTGAGGTGGACCGTACCCCTATAAGGCGAATCAGCAGCCAATGTGTTAAGAAACATTAAAAATAAATGTTGATACAAGAAATAATTTTACCATAATGTAATGTTAAAAGTTACTTTATATACCCTATAGTTGTGAAAATTCATGGCTGTAAAATATACCATTGACTGGGGAAGTAATTTCATGATAAATGAATTTTCCAGTGGAATAAGCCTGTTTTTAGTAATTGGCATTTGCAAACAAGGGCTAGTTTCTTGATCCCATCTCAAATGTACTTGATGTACCATCTCCATTCTTCAACCTTTGTAGCTCCTCTTTTCAACAGAGGGTATGATTACATAGTCACATTCCATTGTACTAGATGAAATTGAGCAATCATTGTAAATGTCTGATGAATGATAACCATTCTGTAATTCAAGCATGTGAAATGTATGGCCTGTTGGCTGCTTCTGGCCCATGAGGTGATTTTATCCAGGCTGCAATTGGTTCTTAAAATATAATTGAATTCAGCCCATGAGCCGCCCACAAACTCATATTTGTTTTCTGTAATCAAATAAAAAATAAATGAAATAATTAGGAGTGTCTACAAACTGATAAACTTCTGGAATTAAATTACTTTTAAGAAACAAAATATAATGAGCTCATTTGCATTTGAATTATTCTATTTTTGTCTTACTGACTATTATTGTGTATATAGGGGGTAATCACTGCTGTTGACTGTTTAACTATGCAACAAGAGCCTTTACAAATTCATCCAAGCTAGTTGATAATTTTACCACGGGAATGAAGCTTGTACTAAAAGAAAAACTGACATTTTCTATACAGAAAACAACATAATGTAATATGCCATTTGATAGATGAAATCTTGGCTTTCTATTGGTTATAAATAATAATATTGAATGTAAGAGAGAACTACTAACAAATCCTGAAGGAGAGGATGTGACAAGAGAGGTATGATTTTCTATTTGATGGCTCTATAACCAAACAAGGTTGAAGGCTAAGAAAATTATGCTTTGTTTGAGTGATGATGATATTATAGTGAGTAATTTACATTAAATTTCATACTTATTGGAGAGGTGATGAATAAGTTAAAGAGGGGGCCTAGAGAAATAGTCACATTTCTCACACTAGGGGAAATTTTGGATTTTTTTAAATATTGTATTATAAATTTATGAACTTAAAACTTGTATAATATTAAAATATGGATTATTAGCAACAAATGCATCTGATCCTTCTTCTCTTACAGTAAATGATTTAAAACATTTTTCATAACTTTTATTATTTGGATAACATTCTTATTCACTATAGATTATACTGCTACTGTATTTATACTCTTTTTATGGTAATAACAAGAAGTTTTGCCGAGGGAAATATCAGTATTTTTAAATTTTACTTTTGCTTCATATGGTGTGGCCTGCAACTACACTTAAAAATTGCTATCTGTCCCATGCCCTGGAGGAAGTTGAACACACCTGCTGTAATTCTTGAATGGGCCACTAAATTCAAGTATTATCACTAGAAGGACTATTTCATGTATCAAATATTATGATATTTAAAAAAATTATTTCACAAATTGCAATATTTTTCAAGGCAGTTTTTCAGTAAACAAATATTATTTTTTAAATAATTTTGTTCTTTACTATGAGCAAAATGGACACCAGGTAACTGAATTCTCTCTTTGTTTTTGTAATTAATGAGACTTCAGTGTTAGATTTACCTATAATTTAATTTATATATACTGTTAAATAGTTCAATTTTAGTTAAATTTACAATATTACACGGTTAGATTGGTAGATAATTAACACTGCCAAAACTTCACTAGAGGTAGTTTAGGGATAAGTGGAATGGAGTCTGTAGGGTGTGGTAGGTACAAGTGTTGGACTATGTCTGATAATTGTGGGCTTGATTACAAATTTCAGAATCTCTGAAAGACATTACACTTGAAGAGCTTTCTTACTTCAGGATAAGTTAGAAAAAGCTTTGGGAAAGATTATGCTCTTAGAGGTTAAAATAGCAGATTAGGAGCAGAAATAAAGCAAGATAGGAAATTTGTAAGATTTAGGTAATGGTTGCTTTGGGGGAGGGGAGAATGGGAGTTTTGAATTTCCAAGGGTACATAGTATCAAAAAGTTAGGGCTATACAGGCAGGTTCAGTTAACATTTCCATTCAAATCTCTAATAGATTTTAACCTTTGGCTATTTGCAGTTAGGAAGGGGATGAACAAAGATATTTATATAGTAGGGGACTCTGTTGTCAAATAGAGCAATAGTTATTTGTAGTAGGAGACATAGAAAGACTAGGATTTGAATTTTCTTGCTAGGTTTTAAAATACAAGACATTGACAAGCATGTTGACAGTTTAGTTGCTGGTACAAAAAAACATGGAGGAATGAATGATTATGGACATTCTAGATGGAAAGTCTTCCTTTAAAAAGTATAGAAAACTCCTTCAGATGTTCAGAAATATAAATAGGCATGTGCAATTTTCTGGAGTGCACCCTTGAAATGGATGCAAGAATGAATTCCTTAGCAGAATACAAAGCATAAATGAAAGATTGTTAGGGATATTATTAGAGTAACAAGTGGGTGGGTTGGAGCTGCAGAACAGTTTTCAGGTTAAGGGTGAATTATATGCTAGAGATGAGCCTTACTTAAGCAGGCTGGGTAGCAAGATGTTTGGGAAACTAGCTTAAATTAAATTTGCATAATGGCAAAATAAATTGGAAAATTGGGAATTAATTGGTGCAATAGCTATGACAGAAGGAGACTGGAAAAAAAGATTTTGGAGTATAACACATTAAATGATAAATTTTAAGATTTGAAGATAAACATAGAAGGTTCTTGAATGTATATAGTTTCTGTCAGAATTTAAAAATTTGACCTTAGCCAATTGTCAAAATTAAAAGGCTTTTAGTTGTATTTCTTAATAGTATAAATATATACTATGTTGTTTTTAGTATTCTTCTACAGTGGTGTGTGTGAATTGTTAGCAATAAATCCAACGATGAATAAACAGCACGCACTTCACTTGTTTTCAAAATAATATATGTTCACAACAAGTTAACGTATGTACGATAAATTCTTCAACACTATAGATATTATGGGCATAAATACCATATATACGTAGTTCTCTCCTTCTTGTCAGATATCCACTTAGGTCTATTCAATTACTTGAGAATTTCAGTTGACAAGCCGAACTAGCTTCTCAATTTCTATTGCACTAGTGTTCTGTGTGTGATTCACTTACAATTGTGACGTGAGTTACCGTAATTGTTTGGTTTTCTTTCTTTTGAAGATCCTCTGCTCCTTTTGTCAAAGTTCACTCAGGCTGATTCAATTACTTTAGAACCATGCTTTGATGCAATAAAATTATTTTTGTTATCTTTTCTACACCTTCATCAATCATTAGGCCTATTACTTCTGTGGTAGTTAACTTCACACCAACTTTATTGCCTTTTGATATTATCTGTCTGCTTCTTCCTGCTCATCTCACGCTATTTTTTCTTTATTATCTAATCTTCTGTCTACCTTCTACGTTCTCGACATCTATATGTTGAACGTGACGTTCAATATTCTCAACATCAAAGAATTAACAACTTCCTATAATCATCTGCTTTTAACTTTTATTATAATAAAAACTAAACAATAATAAAACATTCACTTACAAAACTAAATTAATCAATACTATCTGAATGAAACAGTCTTTTATATCATGACAGTTTCTCTCAATTCTAATGTTAGAAACCATGTGGTTGAGTTCAGGGCTCAAATAAATATGGAAGTCTATGATATAATGAGAGCTACTGAAGCTTGGTTGGATGTGGAGAACATTGATAAAGGGAATTATTTAGAAATTTCAGTTTATAAGCTATTGAATGCGAAAAATGAGGTCAAATCTATATGGGCAACAAGCAGTTGTATGTAGGGTAGAAAGTTTTTAATTGACAGTTGCTATAGATCACTATATCAGTAGATAATACCAATGGTGTTTATGATGTTTTATGGATCTTATAAAATATTACCTGCATAATGTTTTCTCACTGATTTTAGATTAACATAACACTGCTCTGCCATTGGTGTAGCAGATTTGGATTAAAAAGTAAACTTTGAAATGTCAAAAATGCTCTAGTAATTAATAATAATAATAATCTTTTTAATAATAATAATTATAGAATAACTGGTTTGAAACTTTAGTTGTGAACAGTTGAAGAGATTTCTTGGTGAATAAGCCACAGAAACTTGAGGCAAGTTAAGTCTTTTTTTGGTGTTTGCTGATGGAGTGTAGGTTTTCTTATTCATTTGTATAAAACCTGACAGAGAAGATCAAGCACATTTTATGTCATAATACTGATTTTGCATCAAGATAAAACTGTACTTCTGGACTTTTCAAGAATATTACTAACAGCGCTTGCCAAATTACACATTGTAATCATATTTCAATAAAACCTTTATTTTAGATTTAATATATCCAAAAAGCTGAATTAATAATTGTGGAAGTAAAACATTATATATGTTTTTAAATTTTTATTATTATTTTGGATTTGGACTGTCGTATCTCCTGGATATCAGCCTCGTTTCTTTTCCCCATTTAGATTGAAAATTTTCTGCAAAACCTCCTAGACTCATGTTTCAGTATCATGAAGAAAAAATATATTAACAAAAATAAAACTCCTTTATCTTCAACTTTTCTTGAATGAAGTTATTTAATCTGCCATTAGAATCTGGAATGTTCAGGCTGAACATTTTGTCATTCATATGAAGAAAAGTAGCGACAGCAGTTCAAGGAGGCTCGTTTGATAGTTTCTGCATAGCTTGTAGTATAGTATGGTACCATACTTGTTTTGATGATTTTGTATGAACTTCTGTTTATAGCTTATTTCTTGTGTTCTGTTATTAAAATGAAAAGACATTATCAAACAAATTTTAATGGTTTTTGCTACCAGAAATATGGAATCTCTATTTCTCATATAAGACCTTTTTGTAGTACTTTTAAAATTTCCCCAAATTTCTCATAAGTATCTCAGAACAACTGAACAGCCCCCCCCCCCCGGCACAGTGGTATGTCTGCGGTCTTACAACGCTAGAATCCGGGTTTCGATACACGTGGTGAGCAGAGCACAGATGGCCCATTGTGTAGCTTTGTGCTAAACTTTAAACAAAAACAACTGAACATCCATTGTCTTCTTTAAACACTAGAATTAAATGTATCATAAACATAAGACCACCTGTTTTGACACATTTGTAGGTGTTTTTACACCTCCATGCATCTACAGTAAATTATGATTATGATTTCTGCCTTGCAAGTTTATTAAAGTAGCTTGAAAGAAATATTTTAAGAAACTTTTCTCTAAAAATAAATTTCTCTCCATTTATTTTTTGCAAGTTTATTTAGAAATCCTCACCAAGTAAAATAGTTAATGACAATATTAGCAGTCAACAGCACATACTAATAATGTAAAACCACACTGTATGATTCAGTGCTATTGCTGTGAAATGTGGAAAGTGCAATCCCACATTAATGTAAAAATGAGGAAGATGTGTCACATTGTCCTCTATGGAAGTTATGCCTACATTTTACATTAGTTTGAATGATTATTTTAGTTTTGAAATATTTGTTTATATTTTTGTTTAGTTTTCAAACCTTATTAATTATGTTTGATTTCATGTAGGAGATTAGGACTATTGCTGAAGACTTGGCAGAAACATTTTTCTATCTTGGTGAGTTATGCCTTTCAAGGAAGCTTTTATTATTCATGATTTTCATCATCTCTTGCTTTTGTATCTCTGAAGGCTGCTTTTTTTCAGGGAGTATTAAAATTGAAAATGTATTTTTTCTAAAAACCTAAAAAAAATAATAAAGTGCTCATTTTAATAGTTAGAGAAATAACACAGTAGACTTTCAAACACATTTTCAAAACATACTTACGATCGCTGACACTATAGCTATTTCTCGATCTCCAGGGTTTCCACTTTTTGCCCATCTAAGCATTAAATATGCTTACTCCAGTCTTTTTTACCCCACTCAAATACCCCCTGGGAATTTCTAACTTGTAAATTTCTCCACCAACTTCAATGCACCCTTTATCTAGGTACTGTATATAAGCGCCTCAATCAAATAATGTAATCACTTTTTGTCGACAAAGCATTAGGCACAGGTTTCTTTAAACAGGAGTGTTATGATTATTCACAATTTACGTTGCAACTTTGAACGTGATTTGCATTACTACTGTTATATCTTCGTATATTTATAAATTACTTTAATAACAACAACAACAAAAAAAAACACCACATACCGACAGGTATGAATTCCTGAGTTAATGTTTATACTACGGAGGCCATTCAGACATCTCCTCTTCCTCCTCTGTTATCTGGTATTTGTCAATGGCCAGGGTCACTCTCAGTTGAGGCTGTCTGTGATATGATCCGTTGTGAGATGGACACATCTATGTGGACCGAGGGTGTTTCTCCAAGGGTTCTGAGGCAAATGACCTGGACCAGCTGGGGAAAATTTAGACTCTCTTTTTCTGGCTCCTTTTACTAGATTGCTTCAACTGAAATCATTTTGATCAGCTACCTCCAGCCCCATTTCTTCAGTTGATTACTTGGTTTTTTGAGGTTTTAGGGGTATCTCCTATTGCATTCAACTTTACCCCTTTCTTGTTGGCAGCAATGACAGCAAGAGAGTATTTGGTTTTTCCTCCTCCTCCTGATATTGCTGTTCATTATGGGAGATTTGCTGCTCAGTTACACGACAGGATAGCTATACCTTGTCCCCCACGTTTATCGGAACAGCATGTTTTGGCTTATCACCACCAGGAGGAGGTATATTTAGATTCTAAATGAATGGACCCCTTTTTTTTTCTCAGATTCGTTTTACTCTCACGACTGTCATGAGGTATTTATCTTTGATCCTACTTTTGTTGGAAGATTATCAATGTTACCCTGGGCAATTTGAGGAAGAGTTGGGGATTTTTTCTAACTTCTACCTCAGTCAGGTTGTTTTCTTTAGTTCTTTCTCTGATTTCTTGGCTGATTTGTTGTTGGAAGTTTTTGGGTAGAGATTCTTTGTTAAAAAGTGTTAGTTTACTGTCTTCTGCTTTCAGGGAGTTACAGGAAGTTCCTTTTCTCCATCCCATGTTGTTTGCTGAAGTTCCAGAGATGTTAGAATGAAGATTTAATTCAGCTTGTTTACATTCTTCTTTATCATTGTTGACTTCTTGCATTTCTGGTGCTAATTTGGGAGTATCGGCTCATAGTTTTTTTTTACCCTCCCTCATTCGGTTTCCAGATCTATTGGTTATTGGTTCCCACAATAGAGTCGGTCCATATTCTCGAGGATTTTCAGCTCAGATGGAATGTCGACAACAGCGTCGGTGTCTATACCGTGGGTGGGGGAGCAGTGGAACCACGTTTACATCACTTTCTGGACATATGGAGTGCTTTCACCAGAAATCCATGGGTATTCCATGCTCTGGATTCAGTGTTGGTATTTTAATTTACATCACCTCCACCTTTATCTGCACAAACCTGTTACCTTGTTACATCCAATATATTCATGACGAGTGGAGCTTTGTTCCCAGGCTATGAAAGTAGCTAGTCAAAAGGGCAGTGGAGAGGATTGATCCAGTTTTTCTGGGATTTTATTCCCATTTATATGTTGTACTCAAGAAGACAGGAGATTGGTATCAAATCATTGATTTGTCTCGACTCAACCAATTTTAGATCCTCCTCACTTTACTATGGAATCCTTTCTCAACCTATGATGGCACTTTGCACCAGGGCTCTGGATGACCAAGTTTGATGTTACCTATTCTTATCTCCACATTCCCATAGCGAAATCTTCCCAGAGGTTTCTCAGATTTATGCACAAGGGTCTAGTTCTGCATTTCAGGGCTCTACTTTTTGGTCTTACATCAGCAGCTTATGTCTTCTGCAGAGTTGTTTGAGCTTTTTCTTGTCATCTGTATTCCTTGTACATGTAAACACATCGTTATATGGAAGACTGGCTTCTTCTAGCACCATCTCATCGATTAGCAGAAGGCACAAAGGTGGGCTTTCTTATCAAACTGGAGAAATCTATTCTGTCACTGATGCAATATCTTGTCCATTTGGGTGTGTTTTTCAATACTTTTAAGTCATGCTCAACCAACCCCTATCAGGTTTCAAAACATAGAATGAGACTTCAGGTTTTACTTATGTCTCCTTCTTCTATTGCACGGATGGTTTCCCATTATTTATTTCCCTAACAAGGTGGATTCATAAATTGATTCACTTAGCCTATAATGGATTATCATTACAGGAGAGGAATCGTTTGCTTGTCAAATCTCACCAGATTTGTCACATCTCTATGTCAATAGCTGCCCTTTTGAATTGCCCTCTGGAAGACATTGTGCAGTCTGGTATGGGGATTACTCCTAATACTTACGTGTTTCATTACTTACATGATCTTTCAGTTTTCTCTTTTGAAGGTTTTTTGACTAACCCCTGTAGCTATTTTGGCCACAGCTGTTAGATTTACAACAGAGGTGAGTATTTTCCTCAATCATATACTCTTTTTTTTTTTCCAGGGTCACTTTATGTTTTCACTGGATCCCCCTCTGTGGTGAGTGTTGCCAAGGCAGGTATGCTTTCTCTTTTCAATTCTGCACCAGCAACCATTTTCACAATAATTATTACAGGTTGCAACAGGCTCTGTCAAAATGTGGTGCTCCAGAAGACCATCTAGGTCCCCACTGGATGGTATTACCTTATTATTATGGACTGCCACTCATGGACTATTATGAGTAAAGCTAAAAAGGATCCTGCCCGTCCCTGCCGATCTTCAGGTTGAATAAATCGAGGTCAGTTTGCTTTTAGAAATGTAGGGAACTTGGTTCACCTATTGCACAGTTTCCAGAGCACTGTTCCTCAAGACTCTACTGGTGGAGCTTGGGAGTCCTTACCACCGCAGTTTCTAGTTGCTGGGGTGGCAGACAGAGGTTTTTCATACAGAGTGTTTGAGTGTGTTCCTCGGGTCCCTGAATGTTTTTCCAAGATGTAAGTAGGAGTGGCACCAGCCTCTGCTGAAGCCTACTCATAATTCTGGTTCAGATCTGACACGAAGATATCTGGTTGGGGGTGCATGGCTCTTCTCTTTAATCAGTGTCAGTTTTGTATATTGTTCATGGAAGAAGGTTCACTATCTTCTCGTAATTCCAAATGCTAAGTGGTCCCATCCAAGTCCTTTGTTAAGCACAGGTTTCCCATCCTCTCCATAATTCCAGGGGGCATGCAGAATACTCCTTGCCCACTTGGTTAGGGAGTGAGGATGAATGTTCATAATTTCAGACCAGATGAGTTCTGTTCCTTTGGTTGAGTACGGCATACATGACCCCATCATTTCAAGGTTGGGGTGTTGCCTTTCAAACTTCTTTAGGTGAAGGAGAAAGTTTGTCCACTTCGGTGTTGCTTACTTTCTCATCATGATTCCGGTGATGTGAAACACATCGCTCTATGGCTACAGGTTGGGATCCAATCAAAATTATACATAACATTGCAGTCCAATAGTCTTAGCCACCAACGTGGGATATAGGTACCATGACCCGTTAATTCCAACTTCAAGTTGTGGAACCTTGGCTATCTGGTTGGGGCTGGCCTGTACTAACAATTACTCATATTCTATTCCACCTTTGATATAGGAACCGAGTTCCTGGTGAAGATTATACCTGTTCTGGATGTAGTGCAGTTCCCCCAGTCAGTGGAGGTTAGTATGTTTTGGAACTGAAAATGTATTTCCAATTATACTTACCTCTGCTGACACTCTTCTGCCCTATCTTCCCACTAAAAGCCGGTTTATGTTTCAGGTGCTTGTATGCAGTACCTAGATAGAGGGCCCAATGAAGTTGGTGTAGAAAGTTGTAAATTACAGTTTGCCAAGGGCATTTGAGTGGGGTATAAAAGACTGGAGCAAGCATTTTTAATGCTTAGATGGGCAAAGAGTGGAAACCCTGGAGATCGAGAAATAGCTGTAGTGTCAGCAGAGGTAAATATTATTGGAAGTAAATTTTCAGGTTCAGACAATGTTAACTTGCAGCCCAAAACTTTACTTACATGGTTTGATATCTTCTTTGAAATACAGAATATTTTCTTATCACCAAGTCATAAAGAATTACTACATGTCACATTTAGGTTGCTGAGTATACATAAGTTATAATTTTCCAGGTGATGAGCTACTAACGAGTGGGAAAAAATATAAATTGTGTCCACTACAGCTTCATGCTTTGACAGAGAGATTAAAATTAGCCGAACCTCCATGTTGTAAGTGTATCTTTTGAAATCATTTTGCAGAATAGTTTAGCTAATTTTTTTTTAATTAAAAAAACTGTAGTGTTAATGGAAACTGTGCTTTAGGCTCATGTGAATAAAACAAACCTTTAATATGAGTGTAGAAAAAATGTGTTTAAACATTGAAATAATCACCATCCAATATAAATCCATTTTGTAGTAGTAATAGAAATATTGCAAAAGTAATACATCAGAGTGCTAAATCGTCACTTAAACATACAAATAATGCAGATGACATAAGTATAATGGCAGTTAAGTTCATGTAATAATATTTAGAAAAGTTGCAGGTTTAAAGTTAATCGGGGTTAAAAATATTTTGTAAGAAATGTGTAAAAAATACTCCGAGGTTACCAGCTACATAGAACATGGTTCATAGCAAAGTGTTTATATTTAATTATACATAATAAAATGTTATATGATTGTTTTCAGCTTCTGGTGACAAAAAACGAGACATCGGTCACTTACTGGAATTTGTCTCTCAGTTACATCATTTGAAGGTTTTGGGCAGTAATGATCCTGTTGGCCAAAGCAATATTATACCCAACCAACTAACCTTTGATATTTCCCCTTTCAAGTCTCTTGAAATCCTTGAAGTTAGTCCATGCTTTTTTTATACTTTCATGTTTTAATTGTTAACAAAACATATTTAGTATTATCTAGATGGATATGAATTACTGATTTTTAATAAAAAAAAGATCTGCTTTTTGATAATTTAATACTTAGAACTATTAGAAATGCAGTGTTTTATAATCACTCGTTACCTAGTGGGAATTATTATCCTGGGATTCTTCAGCTGTTATTGCACCATCAAAAAATACCATTTATTTAGAATAATATGGAAACTAACCTCTTGTTTCTCTGTCATTACTTGATTAAAAAGAAGAAAGCTAGAAAGGTGACCATGATCTTTCTTAGTATCTGCTCTATCTAAATATTGTATTGTAGTCTTTAAAAGTTAGTGAATTTACAAATATGGCTGTTCTTCAGTGTAGTCAAGATTACTTTCCTTAATTAATTTGGCATAATATTTTTGTATTTAAAACAAAACCTCAAGATTAGTTAGTTGAAAAAAAGGCCCTGAAGTGAGCTTAATTGTTTTCAACAGATAATTATTACTAATGTAGCATTCAAGAATTATAACATAGTTCTACAAGAACTTTGAAGTTTGTTTTATGTGCAGTAAAAGTTCACTTTGAAAAGATGTGTAGCTTTAAAAAACAAAATGTGCAGAAATGATGATGTTGGACTTAAAAAAGAATAAAATATCAATAGGATTGCATGCCAACTTTGACATACTTTAAATTTTTTATATTTTAAATTACAAAGTAAAAATAAAGTGCAAAGAAATGGAGAAAGTTCATTAAATTGAAAAAACTACAACTTGGGATTGGGATTTTTCATATTTCAGATGGAGGGATGTGAAGTTGCAGAACATGTTACAACAGGCAGTTCATTAAGGGAAAGTTTGGTCACTATAAAGATACATCAGTCATTGGACTCACTGGCATCATTTCTCCTTTGTGATGATGTTCACTGGTCAGTAACGGAAAATCTGTCTACTTGGCCAGTATGGCAATGTGTTCAAGAAGTAGACCTTAGCCATAATAATATTACTGCAATTGATTCGTCTGTAGTAAGTGGAATTGTTCATTGATTTTAATGTATTCTGTTTTGTGGACTGAGAAATATTTTTCATACAAAAATACACCCAATATTTTTTTCTACATAGCTTTTTAAATTTTGAGAGTCTAATAGCTTAATGGTTAGCATGCCGAACTGTGATCCTGAGGATCCATGATTCATTTCTCGTTGCCATAAAATCATACACCACATGTTCAGGCCATGGGAGTGTGTCATAAGAGTGATGGGTGAATCCCACTGCTCGAGTAGAGTAGCCCAGAAATTGGTGGTGGTTGTTGTTAATTAGCTGCTTTCCATCTAGTCTATCAGTTTGAAACTAGGACTGGACATTGCAGACAGATCTTGTATATCTTTGCAAGAACATCTTTTAACAAAGAAACAAACAATTGGTTTTGACTGCTGAAAGTTATTAATGTGAATAGGCCTGGTATAGCCTGGTTGTCAGGGCATGTGATTCATAGTGTGTGAGTTACAGGATCAAAACCTGTTGACAGACACATGCTTGCCCTTTCAGCCATGGGATATTATAAAGTGATGGTCAATTCAACTATTCTTTGTTAAAGAGTAATCCAAGAATTGACAGTTGCCTTCTCTGTGGTTGATAGTTCAAAATTAGGGACAGCAGCAGATAGCCTTAATAGCTTTGCCACAAATAAACAATTAAATCATTAACTTGAACATAAAATACATTTTTTTTCTTTTATTTAATGATGGCAAGATAAAAATTGACAGATTATATTATTTTGAATAAGTTAACTGTTTATACATGAACATCATTTTAGCCATAAAATTTGTTATACCTACTAAGTTTTATCTTAGACAAAACTAGCTTGAAATTTTTTGTCATATTTTCTTCATTGGAATCAGATAATGGTTGGTTGACTAAAGATTGATTTTTCTCATAAATTGTTGTGAAGTTATCTTTGTCTCTTCAGGTTTTAATCAGTGTATTTAATTAAGAATTGAATAAAATATATGAGCAAAAAATAAAAGTAAACACTATAAATAAGTTAACTGAATGACTTTCAGTTTTGCTAATAAAAATGGAGTAAATATTTTTAAGGGAGGATTGTTCTAATTTACTTAAGAGTGAGTACCACACCTTTTGTAAACTTATTGTGTTATTATTTTAGATATCTCTTCTCATATACAAGTTTTCAAAGATTGTTGACACTGTAACATCTCTGGATCTGATAAAAAAAAAGACTAAACAGCTTGAGCTCATTAAAAAGATAACTACTGTGTTCTTGTTCTTAATGTATCTTAAACTTTTTTATTATGCCAGAAACTTCTGTTTGCTGTAGAAACTCTGAATTTAAGTCACAACCAGATATCAGCTATTGAAAATTTAGAATCTCTGCCCCACCTCTCTCTCCTTGATTTGTCCCATAATAAAATCTGTGAAGTAGTAAATTTGCACACAAAGTTGGGTAATATCCGCACAATGAAGCTTCATCACAACTCCATTAAGTCTGTCCAAGGTAAAGTACATAACCCTTTAATATAGCTTATTGCTGTAGTTATATATAGTTCTCAAATTTTATATGAAATGTAACTTTTTTTTTTTTTTTAATATTAAAAGCAGCATTCAGTTACTCTTGGTCTGGCCAATTTATGTGTTAATCCATAAAACAATAGCATTAAACAATCTGGGAGATGTTTTATGCAGATTGACAAACTGTTTGGAAATAGTTCTTGTAAGCTGCTAGTACAGGGCTCCTGCACATCATTAAAAGTCATTAATTTTGAAAATGTATTTTTAAGACCCTTCAAAGTCATTAGAATTTATCTCTTGTCACTCACTAATAGTTGTTCATTTGAAAAAATAATCAGTCTACGAAAATGAAAACCTCAGTTGAACAGCTTGGGAATAATACTAGTAGTATTTCTACCTAATATTTTACACTAATGCTACTACTTCTCAAAAACGTTTTTTTCTTTAATTAAATAATGCACCGAAAAATGCAGAATAATAACATGAAAAAGCAGGCATTGTCTTATAACTCTAACAATTTTCCTGGCTCTCTAGCTACATGTCAAAAGCCATTAAGAATTCAACTAAGCTGCTTGAATTGCTTCCCATGGGGAAAATTAGCCTTGAAAAAAGTTCGGTGTCAATTATCTCTACAGAACATAATGTCATATAATACATCATTTGATAGCTAATTTTCTTGGCTCTCTGTTGGTTATAAATACAACATAATTAAACATCAGAGAAATCTATTAGCAAATTGTGACTTCTCGGAGGGGTGGTAAATAAATTAAGAGAAGAGGTGATGACTAAAGAACAGATGCCACAATTCTCACACTAGGGGAGATTGAGGTTGTTTTAAATATTTCCTTATTACATTAAGAACTTGTATAATATTAACATTTGATATATCATCTATGTTTTGATGTTAAGTTTATCTGTATACCATGATAATTAAGTAGTTTAATTAAATTTTGAATGTAATTCACTAAAACCGAACTGGTGTATTTAAGTGTCTTACACTGGCAAAAAAGAAACCTATCATTCTATAGGTATTTGAAGAACTTGTAGCATTTTGCCACAATTTAATTCTTCATATTGTTATCCGACACTGGGCAGCTAGTACATAATTGAATAGTTGTTTAAACATTTGTTTAACAACAAGTAAAAGGTTGGAATGGTCTATTCTTTCATTGTGGGTGTGTCTGTGTCCAAGGTCACTGATGAGGAGTGGAATTCTCTGAAACTAGTGTGGCTCACAGACACACCCCCAATGAA